TGTCCTCGCCATGGTGTACCCTGGGAAAGAAACAAAAAAGAATTTGGGATAGATTCATGGCACAGCCACTTTATTTATTATCAAATATATATAGTACCAAAAACGGCAAGACCACGTACAACATACTATGCGTGTGTGCATCTTGATACTAACTAGCGTGAATCGTTAAGGGCAACACTGCACACCCATTTGGCACTTTGCATACTCTTCTTTTTGATTTATAAGGGGGGGGGGGGTATCAAGTTTACAAAAGCACGTGTTGAAGTAAACATTTACAGCTTTGAAGACCGCTTGTGAAAATTTTGGTGCCCGCTACACCCCGTGTTCAAGATGTTTTCATCACAACGAGGGTATACAAATCAGTACTAGTAACCAGAAGGCTGGTAATATCTCGAGAGCGGTAAAACCAAGAAAGAATTTATATCAAAGGTTCGTTATTAATACAAGCAATGTTTTTTTTTCCTGCGAAGCATAGTGCATACGTCTGTAGGTCTTTACCTGTGCTGCGAATCAGTTTGCCAACGATTGGAAATGGTATGAACAGCCTATAAGCAAAAGCAATGTGTGTAACAGGACGTACATCTGGTGCACTGAGGACACGGTCGTTCAAGGTGACGCCTAAAGCAAACCTGTCGCTTGAATCATGGCCACTCAAGTTCTGTGTTAAACTGCATGTGTGACCCAACGTTGTTTATTGTGGGGGATTGCCCGGATGCTCTTCTGGCTGGACTCGATGCACTGCTCTTTTAGATCCCAGCTCTTTGGTGCAAATGACTGCGTTGAGTGGTGTTGCAATTGCCGTTGTCTCAACGCCGGTGGCGCAACCGACCGACATGAAAAAAATAAATAAACCATGTAATATAGTGTAGCAGAACGGTAAAATAATAACCAGTCGTCAAACCATCCTAATTGTGTAACGAGTATGTGGTTTAATGCCTTTCACACACTACAAAGGGCTCAGCCATAATTCTTCATCGTCATAGGCCATATGAAGTATCAACAGACTGCATATGATACCTCACAGACGGGTAGTGGGTACCATGCTTATCCGAAGAAAGAAGTGTAATTACGTTGTTGGTGCTGTCGTACTTCACAAACATTATGATTTCTGGCATAGTTGATACCTTGCAGAGAGTCAAAAATTGAAACGCAGTTAGCCTTGCCTCAACGCGTAGCTGCGTTCAGAAATAGCATTAGGCAATGTATGGTAATTGTCGGTTCGGTTTGCTCTTATAAGGCGCGTGCCCTAGCACACGGTGGGCCGCTCTCATGACGAGACACATATAAAAGGTCGAGACATACCGCCGCATCGTGGGCCCTCTGGACAGCCCAAAGAGTTGTGATGTGATGGCCGTACTTCGCAGAGCAAATTCCCACTTGCTGGACGATGCTGTATCGGTGTCACGTACCGAAGGGCACTGCCAGAGCATGTGGCGTAAGGTGGCCACACCGCCACATTTCGTACAAGGTGAATATTTACTTTAGATTATATGTACTTGTGATTTTTTTAAGTATTTCAGTAGTTATTATTGTTGTGTGCGAGTGTACGGCAAGGTTTTATTGAGCACATACATGCATTGGCGTATGAAAGAACAAAGCGTTCGTTAGCAAATGCTCTTGTCGCACATATTTTTTTTACATGTGAAGCATTTCTTAGCGAACTTCGGTGACTTTGAGCGTATCTATCTATCTATCTATCTATCTATCTATTTATCTATCTATCTATCTAGCCGCCTACGACTTTTAACTCGCCTGGCCGTTTCGATAATGTTATCAATACCAAACTTGGTATGTCATAACAAGACTGTATGAAGAACGTACTTGACTAGTCATAACATGAAAATCATGATGTGTGCCATGATTGTCATGACTTACATTTCGGGGTCCTGCAGCTCTTGCGGAGGTTTCATTCACATGGCATGTTGCAAAACTGGTATGGTATGACATGATTGCATGGCGAACACAAGTGACAGACCCTAACATGAAAATCATGAGATGCGTGTCATGTAACAACATGAGTACATACCACGCTCATGATGCGCTCGCGGGCGTTTTGCTAGCGTCACAAATACCAAGTTTGGCATTACAGTACGTGAATCGGTGACGAAGGTGTGTGACTGGTGCAAACATGATAATCTTTAGATGCGTGTCATGTAACAACATGACTACATACCGCGCTCATGATACGCTCGCGGCCGTTTCGCTAGCTTCACATGAACCAAAATCGGCATTACGCAATGCGGATGTGCGACATCGGCAAATGACACATCCAAGCTTGATAATCACAACATGCGTGTCTTGTAACAACATGACTACATGCCACACTGATGATGTGGTCGCGGCCGTTTCGCTAGCTTCACATATGCGAAATTTGGTATTACGTGGCACCAATGGATGACGAAGGTATGTGACACCCCCACTGCGCATGCTCGCGTCTCGTGCCGGTGCAGAAAGACACCCGAAAACTGTCGCTACTTTCCCCTTCTCTCGCCTAGCCAGGCCGATGCCTGCAGGCAGTGTCTGCTAGTAAAAAACCGTTCACTGGCCACCCTGTATATGTAGGCGCTGAACCGCGCGTTCGGAATTCAGTCAATGCCGTCCATCTCGACTTTTGCTTGATGTGCGCCTGCGCCAACGTCACCGTCACTGTAAGGCGCCGCACCGCGCGTTCGGAATTCAGTCGAGGCCGTCCTTCTCGGCTTTTGCGTGACGTGCGCCAGCGTCAACGTCGCCGCCACTGTAAGGCGCCGGACCGCGCGTTCGGAATTCAGTCGAGGCCGTCCTTCTCGGCTTTTGCTTGATGTGCGCCAGTGTCAACGTCGCCGCCACTGTAAGGCGCCGGACCGCGCGTTCGGAATTCAGTCGAGGCCGTCCTTCTCGGCTTTTGCGTGACGTGCGCCAGCGTCAACGTCGCCGCCACTGTAAGGCGCCGGACCGCGCGTTCGGAATTCAGTCGAGGCCGTCCTTCTCGGCTTTTGCTTGATGTGCGCCAGCGTCAACGTCGCCGCCACTGTAAGGCGCCGGACCGCGCGTTCGGAATTCAGTCAATGCCGTCCATCTCGACTTTTGCTTGATGTGCGCCTGCGCCAACGTCACCGTCACTGTAAGGCGCCGCACCGCGCGTTCGGAATTCAGTCGAGGCCGTCCTTCTCGGCTTTTGCGTGACGTGCGCCAGCGTCAACGTCGCCGCCACTGTAAGGCGCCGGACCGCGCGTTCGGAATTCAGTCGAGGCCGTCCTTCTCGGCTTTTGCTTGATGTGCGCCAGTGTCAACGTCGCCGCCAGTGTAAGGCGCTGGACCGCGCGTTCGGAATTCAGTCAAGGCCGTCCTTCTCGGCTTTTGCTTGATGTGCGCCAGCGTCAATGTCGCCGCCAGTGTAAGGCGCTGGACCGCGCGTTCGGAATTTAGTCAAGGCCGTCCATCTCGGCTTTTGCTTGATGTGCGCCAGCGTCAACGTCGCCACCAGTGTAAGGCGCTGGACCGCGCGTTCGGAATTCAGTCGAGGCCGTCCTTCTCGGCTTTTGCTTGATGTGCGCCAGTGTCAACGTCGCCGCCAGTGTAAGGCGCTGGACCGCGCGTTTGAAATTCAGTCAAAGCCGTCCATGTCGGCTTTTGCTTGATGTGCGCCAGCGCCAACGTCGCCACCAGTGTAAGGCGCTGGACCGCGCGTTCGGAATTTAGTCAAGGCCGTCCATCTCGGCTTTTGCTTGATGTGCGCCAGCGTCAACGTCGCCGCCAGTGTAAGGCGCTGAACCGCGCGTTCGGAATTCAGTCGAGGCCGTCCTTCTCGGCATTTGCTTGATGTGCGCCAGCGTCAACGTCGCCGCCAGTGTAAGGCGCTGGACCGCGCGTTCGGAATTTAGTCAAAGCCGTCCATGTCGGCTTTTGCTTGATGTGCGCCAGTGTCAACGTCGCCGCCAGTGTAAGGCGCTGGACCGCGCGTTTGAAATTCAGTCAAAGCCGTCCATGTCGGCTTTTGCTTGATGTGCGCCAGCGCCAACGTCGCCACCAGTGTAAGGCGCTGGACCACGCGTTCGGAATTCAGTCGAGGCTGTCCTTCTCGGCTTTTGCTTGATGTGCGCCAGCGTCAACGTCGCCGCCAGTGTAAGGCGCTGGACCACGCGTTCGGAATTCAGTCGAGGCCGTCCTTCTCGGCATTTGCTTGATGTGCGCCAGCGTCAACGTCGCCGCCAGTGTAAGGCGCTGGACCGCGCGTTCGGAATTCAGTCAAAGCCGTCCATGTCGGCTTTTGCTTGATGTGCACCAGCGTCAACGTCGCTGCCAGTGTAAGGGTACGAGCACACTAGCGGGAAGCGTGCCGCCGCGGCATGACGCGCGTCTTCGCCGCCGAGCGGTGAAAAGCGGCACGCTGGCCACATCTGCGGGAGTCACGTGACAACAGTCTCAAGCGGTCTCGCAGCTCGCGAGATTTTGCACGCTTTTTCGTCGTCTGTTCTGACAACGCCTCCTGTACTAGGAAGCGTTGGTTCTGAGCTCTCCGACTTTACGGTGCAATCGTGGGAACAATGGCAGGCGTCGACGATCTCCGCGCAACGCTCAACGTTACCGTGATGGCGTGTCTGCTGTTGCTTCAGCGTCGCCGCTCTCGAAATGCGCTGCGAAGATATTGGGTCCATCCGCTTTGGAGGTACACAGATACTGAAGGCATGAAACAGGTATCCTGCGTGCGCTGCAATATGAAATGGCACGTCATTGATCACTTACTTTTCCGCTTGGTGAGGTGTCTACCTCAGCATGCTGTCAATAATTGAGAACAGGGGCCACTTAATTTTGCCATTATTGCCTGGCGCACCACTCCGAGTGTTCGCCTCGACTCCCGACACAAGCTTCATCCACCTGTCTCTAATATTTTTAAACTTCAGCATGGCCTGTGTTCCTGCACAAATGAGTGAATAAAACATACTATTCATTCGCGCTCAACATGCAATGAGCCACGCAATCGCCACTTACCTGTCAATCCAAACATAGATCCTATAAGATCCCATCTGTTCATTTTTTC